AGTAATCGTTTTAATTGATATGTTTATTTATTTAATTATTATTAGAAACTTGTGAAAAATCAACGATAATGAAGGAAATGAATTTCAAGAAATTAGAAAAAAAAAAAAATAACGAATATTTTTGAACAGAAAAATATAGATTACGATATTTGTTAATGAGGAAATGAGTGAAACACTATCATCTTCATTTTTTACAAAAGAAAACTTATAATGCTGTAAATAAAAAATGTAATACCGTTTGTTTTTCTCGGGAAGAAATTATATTTATAGCTTTGCAAATAAATCGTAATTGTAATTAAAATACAAGATTGTATATATTATAATTTCGAATAGAAAGACAAGATATCGATGGAATATTATAATTTAATTAAATAATTAAATCGTGATGCTGCGTTTTGTCCATCCATATAACATCCATAGCAAATAACAAATATGATATTACTTATTTATATTTGAACACAATTGATTTCGTCGAATTTAAACGGAACACGATCGATCACGTAGTACTACGTTTCTTGCATTGCAGAATCTGTGTTACGTAATACAACGTTTCTCTTAAATTGACATTGATCATGCAGTTCTATATTCTTGAATGTGAATCACTATTTACGCTGTATCACACATTGCTACGTAACCAAGATAACGTAAATAATAATTCAATGATGGACGATTAATCATAAATAAATCGCGAATTCCTCGAAAAATAATTATTTATAAATACATCTTTTTTTTTTTATCCGACCGTACATCCTCCACGTACCACATCCTCCAAACATTTCAAATTGGCTGCAAACAACTCGACACGCAATTCTTCGTTGATAAACTGATCCGATGATTGTTAAATTATGTAGATCGTGTTTCGTAAAATTTTCCTGTTTTTACGTTCTATTTTCATATCATAATTGAAAATCAATCACAAGTTATACGATTCTGTTGAATTGAAGAAGGAAAATAAGCATAATTCATACGTTTATATTTTCATATGTTTAGAGAAAAGGAAATTTAAAGAAAGCTTTATCTTTAATTCATGTCTCTTTCAAATGATGTGATTGATCTAATCAAAATTGATAATATTTACGCGATCATACATTATACGACTTGTTTCCCATTAAATACTTCAAGTATTTGTATATATATATATATATATATACTATTTTCAATTGCATCGAATTATATTCATCGATTAATTTAAGAACAATTACACGACTCTGTAAAAGAAACGCGTACATAAGATTTTCATACAATTAAAACAATCTATGTTTACCACCTAATTAATAGACAAAAAAAAAAAAAAAAAAAGAAGAGAAGAGAAACAAAAAACACAAGCTAAATATCGTAAAAATATCGCATTTAAATCTACTATGACAGAACGAGTAACAAATTATTCATATGCTTAATAACAGATTATTCCCGTAATAAAAACCACACTTATTACCATTCAACAATAAAACAAAGGAAACGAAAGACAAACCGCGCAATATTACAAAGTTCCATATCTCTACATTTGAAACAGGAATCTCTGGAACAATTGTCGACAATCCCATTTACTCGCGATAAAACAAAGCCAATAATAACACACGCCGTATCATCTATTCCGAAAATAATCTCGCCATCTTCTCTACACCGAGGGAAGTGGAAACCGCGCGCTGCCAAGTCCCTCCCTCCTCCAACTTCCGCTACCTCGAGCTCCCGCTAATTTCTCCCATTACCGATTGCGCACAGATAGCGTGTCTCGATGCGATCTCGCGGTTTTCACAGAGCCGGAACATCGACCAAGTTTCGAAATGGGCCCCGGAATCGGGCCAATAAGAAACTACGATAAACGTGGAATGATCTTGGCCTCGAAGTATCGAGAGGCCGCCTCGAAATTGGAAAAGTTCAGCTTTGAGATTGGATCAACGGGGTCGGAGATCGTTTCTCTTCGCGATCCTTCGGCGCGCGCACGCGTGCTTCCGCGGAAGAGAGCGGAAGTGCGCATGCGCGCGCGTTATACGTGTGCTGTACATACACACGATACGCACATCATCGATACAATGGATCCTTAGACTATAGACCCTGGATCGATTTAGAAGCCGTGGAGACCATTCTCGATGGGATTTAAGAGAGCCAAATTATGAAATTATGGATTCGGTTATTCGTATTGTCGTTATTTTATTATTATATTTTTATTAATTTAATAAGTAAGTTTTGGAACGTTGGAAACTTGTCAACATGACCAGTTTTACATTCTTTGCTTTATTATTAAAAGTATATTATTAAAAGTATAAGAATTTTGGTACAAGAATTAATTATATTAGCTGGAATTATAATTATTTATGCGTAGTATATTTAAATAATACTACATATAAAATTATAATATTAATTCTGGTTTTAAATCATTGAATTCTTGGGGAAAGATTGAATAAACGAAACTTGATTTTTATTTTTTTTTTGTTGATAGAACTTGTACAACTGCGTGAAGTATCTTGATCGCGTGTATCGATACTCGTTCGTTTTAATTGGTATTTCGTCGCTTTTTAAATTGTACTTTTTCGACTTCTTCCAAAGTTTCAATATGATACTTGATGATACTGCTATTGAAAAAAATTTTGCGATTTTTATTGAAACTACTGATTGATTAATTGGCTAATGGTAGATGTTCAACCTCTTGAGAATTTATTAAAAACGAAACAGATAATAAATTTCTGTTATTTTTTTTTTTTTGAAAAGCAATCGAAAAATTTCATATAGTCGAAAATATTTATTCACAATATTCTTCTACAACTATATTATATCTTTCATAATATTCTTTATTTAACTAAAGAAAGGAATAAACACGAAATGCAAGTTCAGGATAATCGAAAATACAAAATTATTAACAAAATTGGTAAAATTTATCAAATCTCCAGTATACTAATGTAGAAAATAAAATGGCAATTTATTGGTTTCGCGAATTTCAATAGGTAAATAGGAAAAATACGCATTTATCGTTTAACGTATGCGAAATGCGTGGTCGTAAATAATTCTTGACGCATTCCACATGACACGAAAGGAAAAAAACATGGGCGGCATATGAGTTCATTCGCGCTTCTGAAATTCAAATCGCGGCCATTCAAGATCCGAGGCGAATCGCATGAATAATTCGATAAACTCTCGCGTTGAAAAAAACGAATATTTAAACACGCTCGTTCGTTCTCGATGCAAGATTTATTTTGGCTCGCTAATGAATCTTTAATCATTCTGTTAATCGCGTATCGATAAATCTTTTATCGATATGCTCGATTCGAAGCAAACAAATCTGTAAATCCGCGAGCGTGAATTAAAATCTCGAAACAATTTTAATATTTAATATAATAAAAAAAAAAAAAAGGAACGAAATAGCCTAGAAATTTCATTGGCAATCGAAATTTTTTTTCATACACATTTCTCAAATTATTTTAGTTAAACATTTGTAGTTACGAGCGAAAAAATATTCGCTGAATTTTGTTTGTTTTGAATTTTTTTTTCACAGTTTCAGTCAATCTTTCCTCTCGAATTCATTGTTGAAATTTTATACGTTTATATGTTTGTTTATTTTTTAAATCGTCCACGAATACCGTATATAATAACATTTCGAAAAAAAGTTACATAAATTTAAATTACGTAAAAACGTTTAGTATGAAATTATATTGATATAACAAATAAATCATATTACGATCGTAAAATTTTATAAATTTAACCAACTTTAAAATTTTGTAAAATTATATAAACACAACGATATTTCTTCAAAATTGTCAAAATATAAAATTTATATTAAAAATTTATATTAATTTACACAAAAAAAAAATCAAAAGCTAAACTGCATTATTTCTCTTATATTCTAATAAAAAAAAATAATCATTTATCATATATATATATATATCAAAAAAATGCATCATTTCAAAGATAATTTAAAATATCAGCTCTTTTTCCCTCAGAATGGTTTCCGCGTTTTCCAGCTTCTTTTCTTAGCGAGGACTTGGATTCCCATATCGTGCTTATGGCGCACTGTTCAGTCGAACAGTTTGCAGTTCACTATCGATCGAGTGCTCGATCGTTAATCGTCTGACATTTAAAAAGAAACTTGTCCTGAACATGTCTGGACCATAAGCGGGTCTGAGAATCTTGGCCTATCAGTGCAATTGACTGATATACACATATATACGCATATATACACATATATGTATATATATATGTGTGTGTGTGTGTGTGTGTATATATATATATATTTATATTGTATACATTTTTGTTTTGTTTCATCTGTTAGAGCATTCGTAGAGTGATCATTACTATAAACGTTTTTTAGGTTACATTGACTTGTTCTTTTGTGTGCCACGTGATGCGTATTTTCTAATGTAGCATGCTTTTTGAACTGAAAACTGAAACCCGGGAGTATGAACAGCGAAGATTATTTAGGAGGAAAAAAAAGACACTAAAATCGTTCGCGTTCAGATTCGAGAAATTTTGTCTCGATCTTTAAATATATTATATATATATATGTACATATTAAAGAAGATGAAGACGAATAAATTATTTAAATTTCCTTCTTTTCATAAAAAATTCTTAAATATATCGATCAAAGGTCAATTAATTTCTGTAAATATAATTCTTATTTCGATATAGCATACGACACAGACTTTTAAAATTTTAAAATATCGAATTAATTATAAATTTTCTTTTCCATTCGAATAAAGAATGTAACTGATGAATCCACCAAGAGAATTAATCCAAAAGACGAGAATTTCGGTTCTGAACGTCGAAACGTCAGGTAGTTTTACTTGATCCTTGACTCAGACATTTGGATAAACAATTACCACGATAGTTTTTGACAATGTATTTAAATGAATTAATATTTGACGCGTTTTTGTGCAACACTCGCTTATTTGCTGTACACTACGCAACCGGAGCTTTGGATAACGAGAGAAGTTTTTAATTGAAGTGTGAACAATATCCCGGCCCCCGAAGCTGGCACGAGAATAAACCTTTGTCGTTGTTGTTGGCAGTTCCTGAATATGGCGTCGGTGTTCATGCGGATTTTTAACCTGATTTGCATGATGCTCCTAATCGGCCACTGGAGTGGCTGCCTGCAATTCCTGGTCCCAATGCTCCAAGGGTTTCCTAGTAACTCGTGGGTCGCCATCAATGAATTACAAGTAAGTAAGACTTGGCAAGACGAATTCGACGAGTTCTTCGCCATTTTGGGATCCTCTTGGAGTATATCCTTGATATCAAGTTAATATCTATAATTTTAATATCACGTTTAAAAGAAACGTATCGTATCGTCGTCTTAAACGTCTTCTTCGAAATCAATGAACTAAAAAAAAAAAAAAAAAAAAAAAAAACTAGAAAATCAATCTATCGAAAACGATCATGAATTATTCAAAATGGAAAGTAGAGGATGCGCCACTATTCGACCGTAATATTTTCCAGGACTCGTTTTGGCTGGAACAATACTCGTGGGCACTTTTCAAAGCCATGTCGCACATGCTCTGCATAGGATACGGAAGGTTTCCACCTCAATCCTTGACCGATATGTGGCTCACTATGCTCAGTATGATCAGCGGCGCTACCTGTTATGCACTTTTCCTCGGACACGCGACGAATCTCATACAGTCACTCGATTCCTCCAGAAGACAATACCGCGAGAAGGTAGTTGATATTCATAGAGCGTACAGCGAGGGGAATAATTTTTCCTTTTTCACCCTCAATTTTGTTCAAAATTGTAATATTTCTTTTATTCGATTCATCTTCTTCCTCATCTCCTAATAAACAAGATCTTCGATTCTTTTTATTTTTAAGATCAAATTAAATTTTTATTCCGCTCGTTTCAAAAATCTAATTTCAAATAGAATTTCACAACAAAAAAAAAAAAAATAAGAAATTAACAATTTCTGCTCGAACCAGGTGAAACAAGTAGAGGAATACATGGCCTATCGAAAGTTACCAAGAGAGATGAGACAGAGGATCACGGAGTACTTCGAGCACCGTTACCAGGGAAAATTCTTCGACGAGGAATTGATCCTTGGAGAGCTTTCGGAGAAATTAAGAGAAGTACGAGAAGCGGAACGAGACATCATTTCCTATTTCGATTCCCTTCGATTTTCAAACAAATCTTAATCTCCTCGTTTCAGGACGTGATCAACTACAACTGCAGATCGTTAGTCGCGTCCGTGCCATTCTTCGCCAACGCCGATTCCAACTTTGTCTCGGATGTCGTTACCAAATTGAGATACGAAGTCTTCCAGCCAGGTATCGGATCATTTATATCGCCTAATTACTCTCACTTCAACAATAACTCTCACTCTCTCAACAAGATAACACGAGAGTGATACCGTGCCAGATCGTGATCACACGTTCTTCCAGGTGATATCATCATCAAGGAGGGTACGATCGGGTCTAAAATGTACTTCATACAAGAAGGCATAGTCGATATCGTGATGGCGAACGGCGAGGTCGCGACCTCGCTGTCCGATGGCTCGTACTTCGGCGAGATCTGCCTGTTGACGAACGCGAGGAGGGTTGCCTCGGTCCGCGCCGAGACGTACTGCAATCTCTTCAGCCTCTCGGTGGATCACTTTAACGCCGTGCTGGACCAGTATCCGTTAATGCGGAGAACGATGGAAAGCGTTGCCGCCGAGAGGTATAAGCTTTGGTTAGGTTTGTTCTATCGAGTTGGTGTGCTAATAGATGTCAATCATCACTCCCACTTCCATGTTGATTTTTTTGAACATTGTGTACTGTCCGACGAAGCGAGTTCTATCAGTCATTCTTATTATTATTGTTATTATTACGATTATTATTGCTATATTATTATTGCTATCGTTATCTGATAACATTTCATATTCGCTTGTCTGTCTTCAACATATCTTTGTTACATTATTTTTTATTATTATTGTTAATTAATTGTAATTAATATTATTATTATTATTATTGTTGTTGTTGTTGTTGTTATTATTATTAATTAATATTATTCATTTCGTATTTGTCTACGCTAGTATCTCGACTCGATACGCTTTTTTTTACATACACTTTACACACACAAGTGAAATGATATATTATTTATATATGGCTCGTGATCGCTTTTTTTTTGCGATTGAAGAATCTCTCTTATTGAACGTGACAGTGCAGAATCTTTTTTTCTTGGGGAGAAAGTATTACAACGAAAAGCGCACTAACTTACAATGAAGGGACGGGTATCCGTTAGATACGCGTCTCCAATGAATTGAGAGAGTTTAATGAAGTGATATTTCTTTTTTTTTTCCTTTTTTTTTTTTTTCTTCTTTTGACTCTCTCAATACCGTGGCTCACCGTTCGGCACGAGCGTACGTCTCCGATTTCTGTAGACGACGCGAGTCGAACAGGGTTTGACCCGTTTCGAAAAAGAAAGAAGAAAGCTTGAAAACACCGCGACAAAATATCTTCACACTCGACACATTCACTTACATGGTAATGTTGTTCATGATTTTGCAAACATACTTTGTATAATGAGTTTGGATTTCTCGGTTTTGCCGCATCTCTCCGCAGAGTCACATTTCTCTGTTTTCTGTTTTTAGAATTAGATAGAAGATTTTATAATTTATCCAACGATAAAAGATGAGAGAAGGCACATTTTTAGATATTAAGACGACCTTTCGATAATAACTTTTTTCTTTTCGTTTCAATACACCAATATTATTTATCCCGTTCAATCAGTTTCGTTTCAATAATTCACGTATGAAAGCTACTGTCTTTTAAGTTCAAACAATTGAACGTTTTAACCCCTCACGAATATTATAGAGATCTTAATGAATATAGAGTAGAATCTGTTGAGAAGAAAAATATGAAGTTTCAGAAGTTTCCAATCAATGATAATATAAATCAGTAAAATTATTTTTTAAAAATTACGCTGTTTCCAATACATCTCAATTTCCCTTCCTTCCCTTCCCACTTTTGAAAAATAAATAGTAATGAAAAGTTCCTGCTATCCTCGCTTTCCGATCTTCGAGGGGTCAAAACGAATAAGTGATTAATTACAGACAATTACGTAAAATGTGATTCTGCGGGGCGCATTTCAAAGCTACTGACTTTCTTTTACCCAGTCTTGTATCTCACATTGTGAAACCTTTAGCGGTGCAAGTGGTATTAGAAACGAAATAATACAACTTTGTTCCAAGTTCGCGGCGGAATAATAACGTACGATTTTTTAGGGAATACCTGTAACACTGCTAAACGGTTTGTAAGTCGATCGATGTGAATTAATCGTTGGTTGTGTTCCGTGCAACATTCCCTACGCTTAATTGTGCTCTCTCTATAGGTTAAACAAAATCGGCAAGAATCCAAATCTGGTGGCCCATCGCGAGGAGGACCTTGGCAGCGAGTCGAAAACGATAAACGCTGTGGTGAACGCGCTCGCGGAACAAGCTGCGCATGCTAGCGCCAGCGAGGAATCGGTAAATATATTTTGAATCGATAGATTTTTCTCATACTTTTTATTATTAGAAATATTACTGTAGTACTGTAAGTGTGTAACATTGAATACGGAATACAAGGTCAAATCGGTGTAAAAGTATTGATTAATTTTTTAGTGACATTACTACACGTACGATTGATGTCGAACGTGCAATAAATCGGTAAATGATATAAAGAAAATATACGAATATCACCTGATAACGAGCAATCCACTCTCTCGTCGAGCAATCTGCCACAATCGAAGGATAATCCTTTTTACCTGGAACAAAAAAATATTTACGTATTAGAGTCGAATTGAGAATTTTCGTACTATACAATTGGAGGGTTACTCGTATCTAATAAAATTAAATGAATCTTATAATAAATGGAAAAACTGTTGTTACAATCTTTTCAATTTTGAGAAAGAAATTTCTTCTTTTAAATAATCATATTCGAATAATTCATCAATTCCAGGTACACAGCATGGAGCTGAGGACCCTCCCTTGCCTGTTGCCCAGACCGAAGTCTGAAAACAATTTTGCGAGTCAGGAGCTCTCTCGGGAGGGGCGACGAATCTTCCACAAGAGCGACACTTTCCACAAGGACTCGTATCAATGACGACACTCGTTATACTAGCATACAGAGAGATACTAACGGCTCCATGAGCGACAATGGCTGCGTCCACTGTCGATCGAATCGTTGGCGGCAGTTTTAAGCCTAGATCCTGGACGATACACTAGAAGCAGTCTATACATAGATATTCGCTATGCCAGTAGTCCTCTAGCGATCGATTTCTAGCGCCTTCTTATATTAACCTGACGGCACGTTCCAGTTGTCCGGGATCTATGCGTAAAATCGTGCGGACCAAAAAACGTATATCACAACGTTCTCCAAACGATGGCACAGCCATATATAATAAAATCTTCGTTTCGGCGTAATCTTGTTTTTTCTCATCCGTGGGACGTTCAACTTTGACAGCAATAAACGAAGCAACCGACAAACGAAGAGGAGAAACACTACTATCGAGGAGGAAATAATACGATCGGAATAAATTTTAATAAACTCGTGTTAAGCTCGATAAGGGGAAGAGGAAGAAAATAATAAGAGAAGAAATAGACTTCGCTGTGACATCGAATGGAGAACAGGGAGCCGTTATTCCTGCCACGAGTCTTCTTCATCGACCTAGGCGTCGCGAGTTTATGGCGAACAGATAAACGACGACCGAGGATGAAGATCTCAAACGACGAAGAGCAGGCCTAGAAATTTATAAAAATGTACGTAGCCCATCGTGGACTAAATAGGATATCTTAAAACGACAGTGTTAAGCGATGCGTAATTTCTCTGTGATTTTGCAAAAAGCCGTGCGTCTCGCGTTTTAAAGAGAAGGAAAATAAGGGAGAGAGAGAGAGAGAGAGAGAGAGCATAACCTATACGCGAACGATGTTAAGTATTTTGTTTTTGTTATTTTTTTTTCTTTTTTTCTTTTTTTTTTTTAAACAATTAACCGATATACAGAGGAGAAGAAAGAAGAAACTCGTGAAACGAGGGATATTCACAGTTATAAGTTTGTTAACGTGTTTTAACTTTAGCTTCGTATCGTTGAATAATCCTGTGCGAATAGTCGAATGAAGGGAGAAAGAATAAGAGAGAAGAGTTTGCGATATCTCGAAAGTTGGCAATCGAAAGAGAATTTCAATGTGGAAGATAAAAAGAGAAGAAGAGAAAAAAAGAAGAAAGAAAATGTTTCGTTTAACAACTTAAGATCCTCGGGAACGAATGGAACACATGCCAGCAGCAATTCGGAACTCGTTTCTTCGAGTGATATGATATATCTTCGATGAGTATCGTTTTATTTTATTGAAAACAAAAAAAAAAAAAACTACAAAATAAAATGAATTGATTCGATGAGAAAATAATGGATGAACAATATCGAATTGATTTATATTCAAATCGAAGTTTTAAAACACCGTCCTGAGACGTAAACGAAAGAAAGAGAAAGAAAAAAAATTCAACGCCACAGGAACGGAGAAATATAAAAGATATACGAAGAATCTTTTAGGGATAAGAAGCAAAAGGAATCGGAAGAAGTTTAAATCGTTTTACAAACAAACAAACAAACAAATAAAAAAAAAAGGAAAATTAATATTATAAAAAAATCAAAGGCCCAAAGATCGTGTTAACTTGTTGAGTGTTCTTTGGGCTGTAACGGCTAATATTAAGAAAAAAATAAAAAACGTCAATGAATGAGAAATACTACAATTAAGTGGAACGCGAGAGAGAGCGAACGAGATAGAGATAAATATACCTTTTTATTCAGGCAAAAGACATGCGATGTACTATAAGAAACGAGCATAAAAGGAGAATTAAATTAGAAGAAAGAGAGAGAGAGAGAGAGAGAGAGAGAGAGAGAGAGAGAGAGAGAGAGAGAGAGAGAGAGAGAGAGAGAGAA